ACGACGATAGAAAAAAGTGACAAAATTGAGAGAAAGTTGTTTCCCGACCAAAATGCAATCATGTTGAAAAAGTGACATTTGTAAAGTTAGACGATAGGATTTCCTGAAAAAGTGCAAGACTTGTTCTGAATCAGGACAAGATTTGTCTTGAAAAAATACAAGACTTGTTCTGAAAAAATACAAGACTTGTTCTGAATCAGGACAAGATTTGTCTTGAAAAAATACAAGACTTGTTCTGAAAAAATACAAGACTTGTTCTGAAAAAATACAAGACTTGTCTTGAATCAGGACAATTGTTCTCAAATTTGAGAACTTTACAAGAAAAACTGACTAAAAAGTGCAAGACTTGTTCTGAATCAGGACAAGATTTGTCTTGAAAAAATACAAGACTTGTTCTGAAAAAATACAAGACTTGTTCTGAAAAAATACAAGACTTGTCTTGAATCAGGACAAAACTTTACAAAATGTAAACTTTACATAACCGTTTCTATCGTACATGATATTTAGTTGACATTGTAAACTATCTTCATGTAAAGTATGGCGGTTTGAAACCGTCGGGAACCTTCACTTTTTTGACGAACTTTCCGCAGCAATTTTTAAAATTTGTGAAAACTCAACGGTTTGACACGTGCCATATGTCATTTTACTCAGAATTTTGTGCTGAATTCAGCAAAAATAATGTTTATGTTAGCATGTTAGATCTAACACGTTTTCTAACCTCTTTTCTAACATAACTATTTACAAGCGTTTTACATGGTATATGTTGCGATGGTTCATGACTTTAAACAGTTTTGTAGCTTCTATTTCTTCTTTTAGTACATCGAATGTTTTAACAATGCCGAAGGTTTCTTTATATTTCTTCTTGACGTCAGATAGAAGGAAATCGTCAGCAGTTGGATAATTTTTGTTCAGAAATGCTAACATGTCCATTTTATCTTCTGCTGGCTTTTCTACTTCTTTCTTTAAATCTGCATAGTCGTTTCTCATTCTTTCTATCTCTTTGACGGAGTAGTTATATTTCCTCATCGCTGCCTTACATTTTGAACATTGCGGGTTCATTTTTGCGTTATACATTGAAATTTGACCTGCTAAAACAACTAAGGCGTCAATTGCTCTCTTCATCTCAAACATAGCGGGTCTTAGTTGTTCGTTCCATACTTTGCCTCTTCTATCTTTATCTCTTATTTCCCAAACACATTCAGCAACTAATGAAACAAAGTTATCGTAGGTCTTAAATTCTTCAGATTTATATATGTCAGAAACATTCTTATAAACCATGTCGCAATCTTTGTCCATAACTTTATGGTTGCAATGAAAACCAAGGAATTCATAATTTACTTTACGTATGAACTTCTTTATTTCTACTGAGTCAGTTGTTTTGACTTCAATTTCGTCGAATTCAGGAATAGTTAGTTTTTGTTGTTGGATTTCAGGCAATTTGGGTAAATGGTCAATAATGTCCTGCATTTCATAAAGATACTGTTCATTTGTTTCATCTTTCGCACTACAGTCTAAATTACTTGTTAAAAGTTCTTGCTTTATCTTCTGGATTTTTGTTTCGAAAGTATATGAAGAAGGAATGAAGCTTTTCATCTCTACTAACATAGATGTTGGATTCATGACTAACGAGTTTGGTGCTGTAGTTTGAATTGTTGTTGTGCCGATTGTTGAAATCATATCTTTACATACAAGATAAAAATTTTTCTTAGAAAAAAATTAGCGTTATTTTTCTTTCATAAGGAAATGTCAAAAATTCATGATTTTCGAGAGTTTTAGACCATGTTAGAAAAGTGGTTAGAAAACGTGTTAGATCTAACATTCTAACATAAACATTATTTTTTGGTGTAAATAAATGGTACCATTAATGATATCATGACTGTTCTCATTCATGTCTGATTTACATCTAATGAAAAAGTTAGAAGAATTTTCTTATTCTTTCTGGCATATTTTTGTCTTTCCAGTACTCCCGCTCTAATGGTCCCAGATGTGTTGGCTTTGACTCTCTCAAGTTCTTAGATGGTATAACATCTTCAACACCTCCTTCATATCTTACTTTATAAGTGTCATCGTTTATGTTGTAGCCAAGTATTTCAATAACCACTCCTCGCTTTGCTTCGTCAATGGTTTCAGCAAGTTTGCCATTACTACTTTCAACTAACTTATGTCGAGGGTAAAATGCTATGGAGTCGTCAGCAGCTTTTATAAGATATCCATTACCTTGTGTAGAGTCTACGATATAATAGTTTCTACTTAACCTTAAACGTTTCTTTGTCAACGGTTTGTCGTCAAGAACTACACGAACTTTTGTACCAGGAATGAGGGTAAATTGTGTTGAATTTCTGATATTTTGTGTTTGGCTTCGTTTCTTTTGTATATACTTTTCTTCTTGTTGTTGTGTCATTGAATTTGGTGTATGTCCTGTTGTAGAATGTGTTGAGGAATTATATACTTCGAGAAAATGTTTCATTGTTTCTTCGGTAAAGTCTCGCTCTTGATTTAAATCTCTGAGCGTTCTTATGAAGCGGTTTATGATGCCGAGTATGTTATGGTTATGGTCTTCAGTAGTGTAGTGAGTTATGTTATGCTTAATGAGAAATTCTGTGATTTCATTGCTGAGGTATGCACTGTCTTGGTCTGATGTTAAAGTACTTGGGTTATGTTCTGCTACAAACTTTTGTAAAACTCTTAACACTTCACGAGTTCCTTTATTTTTCATTGGATATGCATATGCTTTACGAGTGTTAACATTTATGAAGATGAGGAATGGTTTATGTCCTCCTTTTCTGCTTTGAATGAGAGTGTCAAATTGGTATGCGTCAGGAGTGTTGGAGTAAATTGGTAAAAAGTAGTCGTAAGGGTTTATTTTTGTTTGATGTACAACATTTTTGTCAAAGAACCTTTTCACTTCAGCTCTGTTAGTAAATCCCCAACTCTTTGCAGCTTCATTGAATTTCTTAAATGACCTCCATGGATGTTGTTCGAATACTTCTTTCAAGCTCATTTATGTAAAGTTAAAGATTTTAACCAACTCGTATCCAAGCGTGCATTGTTATATAAGGAGGCATATAATCTTTTCCATTACCTGCTGGGTCTGTAATACCAGCTACAACATGTGTATGATTTCCTGCAGTTCCACAGAAAATACCTGTGCTAACATCTTTGGGGTCAGTTGTGATATCATATCTATGCATTCCCTGTCTATCCGAACCCGCTGCAAGATTTGTATAACCTCTTTTTGTTATTGAATGTGAATGGTTTCCTTCCACAGATGTTCTTCCACTGAACCTATGCATATGTGAAGGAAGGTTTTCAATACCTATTTTCTTTGAACCTCCCATCTTCATTGACTGAGTATTAGTGTAGAATGGAAAACTGTCAACTATTTCATACCATCTACCACCAAATAAAGTGTTTGGATTTATTGGATTCATAGACGTATAAACAGCTCCTATAGGATATATTAAATCATATATGCTCATAACTCTATAAACATATTCTAAAGAACTTATGTCATTAAATACCATTTGGAATGTATCTCCCGGATGAAATGTTGCATTTGTTCCACTTTTATAATGTAATGTTAGTTCAATAGAATTATCCAAGAAAAATTCAAAAGTATCTGGTTGAAGACCTCTAACAAATTCAAATGGAGTTGCTGGTTCACCATTTATAATTTCTGTTGTAAATGTCATTGTATCTGGTTTCGAAAATTTCTTTGTTAGTTCTTCATCTACATAAGTTTTGTCTGCTTTCTTATCTAACATTGTTGGTAGTTCATATGCTTCAAAGTTTCTGGCATGACTTTCAATGTTCCTGCAACTCTTATCTAAACTGTTAAGAGTATCTTTTACGCTTGTACTTGGATTTTCTAATGGTGCACTTGAACCAAGGTCAAAGTTCAATATTATGTCGTCTGCTCTAACAGTAGTGAAGGATTTATGTGTATGGTTCTTGTCAGCTTTACTGTCTAATGTAGCTTGAAGTTCATTTATATCGGAGATGTTGTGTTTATGAGATTTCAAAACTTTGTTCGTTGCTTCGAGTTCAACTTTGTCAGCTTTACTTTTAATAGCATCTTCAAACGTTATTTTTGCCTTAACTCTTAACATAAATCTTGGTTCAACTAATACACCGTTAACATTGAAAGTAGAGGCATAAATTTCACCGGTATAACCAAATGCTTCTGGTGCTTTAGCTACATCATACTGTACAGTACAGCTTATGTCATAACCTTTAGCACGAATGTATTTATATCTTCTTTCATTAACATTTTTTGTCTTCGCTTCATCACTTCGTGTTAAATATCCATGGTAGTCCGTTATAATCTGTTCGTCTGAAGTTATATAATGAACATGGTTCTTGTCCGCTTTACTATTTAATGTAGCTTGAAGTTCATTTATATCGGAGATGTTGTGTTTATGAGATTTCAAAACTTTGTTCATTGCGTCAAGTTCATTTTTGTCCGCTTTACTATTTAATGTAGCTTGAAGTTCATTTATATCGGAGATATTGTGTTTATGTTCTTTATCTGCTTTTTCGGCTAATTTCTCTTCTATCTCATTTATTTCAAGTTCATGCCTACCACCACCTCCCGAAGAAGTATTTTTCTTCAGCTCTTGAAGAACGTCCACTTCGCCATCTTTGGTGTCAATAATGAGACTTTGAGTTAAAACCTTTCCTGTCTTAATGGATGTTTGTAAAACTTCTTCTTCACCATGTTCGGGGTCATGGTCGTCATCATATCTTGTGAAATCAGAGATGTTGTCATACATTAAGCATATCTGTCTCAAAAGTTCTGCTATTTGAAACTGGAACGAAAGATATACAGAACTTTCATCATCTCCTAAAGTCAAGTCTGCTTTCTTAAGTATTTCTTGAATGTATGCAATGAGAACAGAGTACCTTGGAAAATATTCGAACAATATTTCATTAGCTGTTGGTTTTGGTGGTTCTTTTGGAGTTTCTGTTGTTTCAGTTCCTTCTGTAGGTTCTGTTGGAGTTTCTGCATCTCTTGACTTCAATGCTCTTGCTCTCAAAGACCTAAATGTTAGAGCACCGGGTTTTACAAAGGACTTTATAAATGCTTTAATAGTTCCTGGTAAGTTATTGTTAGCATTAAGTAAGTTCCTTATGCTTCCATCATGTACGTCCATAGCACTATGTAAAAAATCTATACTTTTCTTGTAGTCAGCAATAGACTGACTGTGATTTTTTAAAGATTTGTCAATACCTTTAAGCCAATCTTCATGCATGTCTGATACTGAGCCAAGAATATCATTTGCTTCCTTTAGTGTATTTTGTGCTTGTCGTAAAGTATCCAATCCCGTACGTGCATTGTTTGCTATACGTCTTACAGTATCTATTTGACTCCTTGTTTCTTGCATCCAACCAGATAAAGTTTTAATAGTATCCGAACCATTTGAAATGAAGTTCAAAGCATTTTTAACGTCATTTAAAACTTCTTCACCAAGTACCGCCCATATCTTTCCGATTTGGTATTGAAGAACTCCATATGAAGCAGCTGTTAAACCAGTATTTATAAGGTCCCATATCCATGATTTAGCAGTTTTTCCATCCTTTCCATCCTTTCCATCCAAACCGTTTTCGCCTTGAGGTCCTTGTATTCCTTGTATTCCTTGTATTCCTTGTATTCCTTGTGGTCCTTGAGGTCCGGTGTCACCCTTCTCTCCTTTCAGTTCATCTTTATGTTCGTTATAATATTCTAATGTCATAAGGTGTACATCATTACTGCTACCAGCAACGCCGAGAATTTGTTTCTCATTCATGACTAAATTCTTTAGGCATTTAATGTTGTCGTCAAATCGAAAGCTCTTTAACAATTCAATGAGAACATTTAATACTTTCACTAATGAGGCATCTACTGTAGAATTTATATATTGCACCGTTCCATCATTTATGATGGGAACCTTGCTTGTTGTAATGAATGGGTCATAAGTGTTAAAAGTATCGAAATCAATGACTTTTTTAGTTTTTCCATCGTCAATGACTAAATCATTGCCTTCAATGGTTAAAGTTGAGTTTTCGTTTACTAGTTCATGTGCTCTTCTTGCTTCATTTGTTTCATACGCATATGCAGCAATAGTCATATTTTAATGAGAATAAAATGTTGTTCTATTTGCAAAGTACAGACCCAAACGAATACGGGACAGTAAAGCTACAAACAAACTTAGGTCTTCAGAATGAAGCGCTTGCTTTCAGAGTTGTTGACTTCAATACTATCGCAACTTTTGTCATAACAGATGAAACAGATTTCATGGAGTTTGAAATAGATGACAAAAGAAGTTTGTAACATTTCCTAACAGAGCCGAGTACAGAATAGATAAAATTGCTGGAGTCATAGATACTCTCATAAATGAAGAAACTATTGACAACATAGATGTCGAACTCTCTTCTGAGGGAACATTGAAGTTCAGTAGCAAGAAAGAGTTCAAGATACCAAGAATGAGTCATAGAGAGTACAACTTCTTCTGGGAGCATACCATATGACATTTCCTTTGAAAAGTGTTGACAAAAAACAAAAGCAGAGAGAAACCAAAGAGAAAAACTTAGTGAAAAACACTAGCCTGCAATTAGCTGCTGGAAAGACAAAGAACCCACGTTTGCTCTTGAAAGCGAGAAAAAGCTAGCAAGAAGAACAAAAAGCAAAGGAAGCTGAACAAAGCAACGAAGAGTAATATGGTTTATTTTATCAACTTTAAATGTATAGACGAAACCAATACCTTTAACTGTTTGCGTTTCCATAGAAAACCCTGACGTCAAAATAAAGGGGAACAGAAGTAACGTTTAAGGTTTCAACAGAACTGGATTGTGAACAAAATTGAAGAGAAGTACATTGAGATAACTATCTATGTATAATAACAACGTTGCTTTCAGAAAGGTTGACTTTATATACTTAAGTCCGAGATAGAAAATGACGAAAGTCCTTTAAGTGCCCAAAAACTTCCACATATACAAATACTTTTACAAGACGATACAACATTGCAAACAATGTATGAATTCATTTAATGAGATGTTTCGAGAAAAAGTTCAACAATTGAAGTAAAACATTTACACCTTTACGTGAGTTTTCTTGCACAACTTGAAGGAAGAAGTAGTCAGCCACAAACTTATAGAGCTCTTCATTATGATTTTTAATGAAATGGAAGATGGACAACTAATGACCTTGTCAATTCATTGGTATTTCTCACCATTCAATGAAGTCCGCTAAAAAGAAAGAAATCCATTAACGTAATAAAGATTTCCAAATCTCCGAACCAAGTTGATGATTTTAAGAATGTTTTTCAATTATGATGCAATGCTTCCAGGAAAAATGAATTTTTTCAAAGAGTTGTAACACCTGGCATTTGGGATAGATAAAGCAAAGCCAATACTTTACTCTAATATAGCCCAAAGGCTCGTTGAAATGATTTTCATTGTCCCCAATGACAGAGAACTTCACCATTCTACCTAAATAATATAAATTAAACTGGCTTAATCGTGAGTTTTGGATAAGACATGGTCTCCACTTCAATGACCATTAAATGTCCAGTGTTTCTTGCCTACAGAATGAAGGACCTGTCCCTCTACATTGAAGCCAACTCTATAAACTCTACCATCGAGTTTTGTAAAAATCTACGCTAGCCTTTATTTTTATCACGAATGACTCTGCACAAGAAGGCCTAGCGGCAACGACGCAAAATGACTATTTACAAAATAGAGCGCGCGAGCCAACGAACTTCCAACTTACGAAAATAAAGCTTTGTTTTTAGTCCGTTTTATTGAAACGTTGAACTTTTTCAGCACAAAGCAAGGTTGAACATGAAACTTACATAAGTCCGAATGCAAATCTCCTTGACCCATCATGAAAGTGACTTTGTAAAGTTTTTCATATTAAACTGAACTTCAAGAGTCTTTGTTTCATATGTTCCAACAGGTATGGTTGAATGTTTTATTTTCATGATGTAATAGCAATTGTATAGCTTTCAGGAAACATTTCATTAGCGGTTTAAAAATAACAATTGCTTCACGCCGTTTCAATTCTGCAGTTGAAAATGCAAACTTCATTTAAATCGTTAGTGAGTAAGGTCTGATGTAGGATTCATTACTTTCCACAGAAAAAATACTTTTTTCATAAGCTAAACTTTGTTTTTTCAGGTGTTATTTCTGCAAAGTCGCTATGAAATTGACCAAGGTTCTTTCCTAAATAGTTTCGCGACCATATCTCTTCTAAAACTCTGCTGCAAGCTTTTTGGATGTCTTCATGTAATAAAGTGCATACTGTCGGTATCCTGGTAAAAGATTTGAAGTCCCATGTCCTCTGCAGTACAGAAATACTTCATTCAATAATACGTTTTTGACATAGACAGAATATTAACACCAAGTGGACAGAAGTTAAAGTGTCCCTGCCATGCCTTTTCGTTAGCTTGAAAATAGTTTTTATCTGAACCATCCAAACCTTCGAACTTCACTATATGGTTGTAATTTTCTTATAGCATATCTTATAGCATCTTTTGTCATCTACTATGGTTATTTTTGACTCAATAGGAATAGAATAGTTTTGCCATAAATGCTGTTCAGAATGAGTTTTATAATTTCTTTGTAAGGGGTTTTTCTTCTTTCTTTTATACTTTAACCTTAACTCCAAACAACTTCTTTACTTCATCTCTTATTCTCATATCTCTGTTTCCATCGTAATAGTATCCTTGCAACACTTCACATTTGACACCTTGATATTTTATGAGTCTTGTAATTGTTATATGGTCAACATACATGAGACAGCAAGTGTTTGAACTTTCCTTGGAACGTTTAAGTTCTGATTTAGTTCAGGGTCGCAAACTATTAAAATGAAAGTGTCTGGGTATACCAATCTCTGTTACTTAATGAGAACAAAGAAGCCAGACATAAACTTTTCACCAATGGGTTCCTTTTGTCGCGTATCGAATAAATGTCTCATGAGATACTCTGTGCTTAACATTTCTTCCTTCAATACTTTGGAATACCTTCTAAAGTATAAAGTCTTGCTTATAGCTGAAAGGATATAATGAAAACAGTGGCAAGTCAGCAATGAGTTTTCTTTTTGCTCTTTTGTTTCATGTTATCTGACAACATACATCTTCCACCTTGAATGCATCTCGAAATAAATTCTCTTGCTTTATTTGAGCGGTCATAAAGGATTTCCATTCGGGAAGTATACTCTGTTTCTCAAACAATTTGTTAGCAATAGAACAAATACTAACGTAGTCATAAAACGTTTAAATCAAACCTCTTTCAATAAGTCATTGCGGAACTTTACAAAACCTTCTTTTAAAATTCTTACATCTTGTTTGCAAGTAAAACTGGTGCTATATTTTTAAGTCGAAGTGGTTTTTCATCTATTCTGCAACCTTTGATGAATCTATGTTCTTCATAAATGTATCTGCATCATGGATAAACTTACATGCTTCAGAAATGACAACCAGTTCTGTTGTCATTTGCTAACAAAACACTGCTGTAGTAGTTTATATGGAAATACTTCTTTCGTCCTGTTTGTAGTTAAACATAGCAGGAAATAGTTTAAGCTTCCTTATTTATACACTGTAAGAGTCTTTTATAATAATTGCCCTTCTTTATATAAACCAGTTATTTGCATTGTTCGTGAACCTTTAATGATGGGAGTTCCTTTCACTTCTGTCATGTGTCCTTAAAGATGAAGTTATGTCATAACTAGGTTATTGGAAATATATTAAACTCCTTGTCAGGAAGTCTTTCCAAAATTCTGTTGCACAGTTTTGACCCCAAATACTTTCACTACTGAACCATCTTCACTGTCAAATAACAGATTTGTTAAAGCTTTATGAAAGCCATCCGTACTACATCTCAAAGTCAGCAAAGAAAACGTGCTCAGGTATGAACTTACCATTTAGCTTTATTTACTTCTTTTGACTCTGTTTTCTTCTTCAGTTGTACACAATACTTTGGAGCATCAGTCAAATCTTTAAATGGGCAAGTTCTGTTTATATAAGTCAAGTCGTATATGTGAAAAGTTCTCCATAAGAAAATAGGTTTTTCAAAATATTTGCACTCCCACAATGTTTTCTTCATAACATCCAAAGCGGTGTGTAGTTCTATCAAGCATACATATTTATCTTCTCTCCTTTGTCATATATTATTCCATCTCTGTTTTTTCAATGTTTCATTTCCACCACAACTCCCTTTTCAGATTTCTATATAGTTTTCGAAAATGAAATAATGTTGTCATTTGGAAGTCTTTTCATTTAAGCAATGTAGTGGTCTTTCAAAACAAGAAGTCAGTCAATAGTTTCGAAACAGTTTCACATTCTTTTGGTAATGATCTCTTTTATTTCACATTATGTCTTGAGTCATTGAAGTAACCAATGGTAACATAACAATCTATACCTGTGTGCGTCAGAAATTCTTGTACTTAACTTTGAGGAAAGTCCCTCTAACCACGAATGACTCTCTCATGTGTGTTTCAATAGTTTTTCCTTCATTTACTCCAGCCTGAATGCAAGCATAAAACGAAAGCAGTTATCTTCTGTCATAAGTGTTGCAGTTCTTTTGTTCAGTTCATTGAAAGATTTTGGTTAAGCGTTCAAAGATTTATAGGTAATTGTGCAAAGATACTTCCAGAACTGAACCGCTTCTCTTCTTATAAAAACTCTTTTCACCATTATCTTTCCAAAAGCTTTCCTATAAGTGCTGGGTTTCCTGTTTGCTTAAGACTTCCAAAAATGGCTTTCTGGTCCATTGTTCAGTGTGCTTTCATCTCTATATGGTCTCTTTTGGT